GCTCTCATTAGGGAGGCGTCCAACTCCACCCCGAGATACACAATCGACTGGGATGGAAGGAAGGAGCTCTTTTCCCAGTTTATAGAAAACCCTAGGGTTGACAGATGCTCTGTCAACCTCCTGGTTTGCTGTGACGCCTCGTCCTCGGACCGAGCGCACAGGAGAAGATCGTCCAGGTAAAATAAGACCCTCATTCCCTCCGTGCGCAGTGGCTGCAGCGCGGTCTCCAGACATTTGGAGAAAGTGCGCGGGGCTAGCGAGTAGCCGAAAGGGAGGCGATTGAACTGATATTGAACTCCCTTGAACGAAAAACGCAGAAACTTCTGGTGGTTTGGAACTACTGGTATGTGGAAGTATGCGTCTTTCAGGTCGATTGACGTGAACCAATCCCCGGGGTGCACATATTCCAGGACTTGTCTCATCGTTAACATGCGGAAATGCATTACTGCTATGGAGCAGTTGAACAGGGACAGGTCGAGAATCGGCCTCATTCCTCCCGACTTCTTCGGTACTACGAAGTAGCGGGAGTAGAAACCCAAGAGTTCTTGTCCGCGAGGGACTCGGGAAATAGCGTCTTTGGACAGAAGTTCCCGCAGCTCCAGCTCTAGCGCCTGAGACTGTACTTGCGATGTGAACGTCGTCTCCACGATCCCGTTGAAGGGAGGTGGAGTGGCCTGAAAATGAAGTGTGTGACCGCAATGAATGGTGTCCGAAATCCATTTGCTCATGATGCAAAGGCGGCGCCACTCGTGCGCGCGTTCCGACAATGGACGCGTGTGCGCGGTCACGTGAACAACGTCTGAGGGTTGTGCATGCGCCCTTACCGCCGTCGCCCGTACCAGAGAACTGGGGGCGACCCATGGAGGGCTGCGCTCGAAAGGGCAAGTGCGAAACAGCTGGAACAGGCTGGTCCACACCGCGGAGCGTGGAGTCCGAGAGTGAAGGACGAGTGGGAGCCGGGCCTGTGCACGGGGGCGACAGAGTGCTAGCGGATGGAGCCGCGCACTGTGCCGCCGCGCGTGGTCGAGACAGCGACATGACATCCCGCCCCACCCAACGGCGTGGGGAGAGCGGGACGAGTTGGGCCTGGCCGGATGCTGGGGCCAGAGCGCAAATGGAGCGCACCCTTACGGCTGGCCGTGTATTATGACTACCTGCAGGAACATTTGTGCGTGCAGCAGTGCTTGGTGTGGGGAACATGTGTGAAAACTCGGCAGAGGATTCTGCGGAGGACTGTAGGATTGAGCTCTTTGAGTGACGTTTTTTGGGTTTTATTTCAAAACCAACAACATCAGAACAATCAGTAACACACACATTCCCCCCAAAGAGTCACTTCCGTGGCTGCTTTCGGCGAGGCTCCTGCACCTGGGACTGCCAAGACGGCGTCTGCTGGCCCCGCCGGAACCGTTGTCCGCCATCTCGCTGGTCCCGCTGATGTGGAGCCGAAGCGGGAGGCCGGCTCCGTGGAGCGGGCGGTGCAGCTGGACGTCTGAAGCTTCCGCGCCGTTCGTCCCATCCTCTGGCTGAACGGCCGGAGTGCGAGGCTGACCGAGGGTGGACCAGGTCTCGCACCGTAGCCGATAGTTCGGCCGTCTTCTGAGCCCTCTCAATGACGCCCCTAAGATGGGGACCAAACAGAACATCGGTGGTGATGGGGCCATCCAGCATCTCCCTTTGCAGATGTTCCGGAATGGAGGGCAGGGCCTTCAGCCAGATCGCTCGCTGGATGAGGGTCTGCCAGGCAGCGATGCGAGCAGAACCGGTGAGCACAGCAGCACACAGATTGAGGATGGCATCAGCAGTCTTAGTTATGACGGCTTTCGACTCCTCGGGAGCTTCCAGCTCCTCCATCATCTTGGAGACGCCGAAGGCAAGAAGGGCGATGTTATTCCCTGCAGAGCCGGTCTGAAAGGCACACTGATGTGCGCGGTCGGTGAGCCGCGTCAGCAGCTGGTCATGTTTTGAAGCGGGAACAGCTCGCGGGCCAGCGAGGTGGTTCTTGGCGCCGAACAGCGAGGCCAAATCCGTCTCTAGTGGAGGAACGGACGGCCAGCCTTGGTCGGAAAACCCCTCGACCTTGGTGATGGGCGCATATGTGGAGACTGGCGCCTTGAGCTTGGCAGGCTCGGAGAAGGCGGCAGACCAGCAGCTCATAGCAGCGGGGAAGCGCGGCCAGACAGGGTCTGGACAGCGTGTCTGAGTTGCCCCGAAAATTCCCGCCAAATCATCCGCTTCAGGCAGGGCCGGTTCTGGCACAGCTAGCCCCTTGCGGGCTGCTGACGCAGAAATGATGGCGGGCAGCTCCTGGAGCAGTGCTCTTACTGCTGGCAGGGAGGAGCGAGAAGCCACTGGGGCAGAAGGACCCGCTGAGCGAAGCTCGTCGACCTCCGTTATGTCTAGGAGGGACGCCGCCTCATCGTAGTTTTCGCTGTCAGTGACGTCATCCAGCCGGCTCCTGACCGGCGTCGAAGAAAACCAAAGCCTTGTCCAGCGGGTAGGAGTCAGCCACCGGAAATTCTTCGTCGGCGGCGGGAGTGAAGTACTCGACCCGGCGAATCTTCTCCGCCACGGGCAGAGCGGCACAGAACGGGCACCAGGCCTGCGGGGTCAAGGCCAGGCCAGCGTGGTGAGCCCCGAGACAGACCTCACACTTAGCGTGCAGGTCGCCGCTGGAAATGGAGCCCGTCTGCAGGTCGGGCAGGGTCTGGTGTCGCTGGACATGGCTGGTAAGTCATCTTCGGATAATTTGCTCTTTTGAGATAATATTTGCTCTTTAATAAAGCTCTCAAGCTTGGCATGAAGAGAAAAAGGAGGTGAGCAGTGGGGTCACTGCGGTTATATACCACGAGGGGGCCCACTATTGGTGGGCGTACATTTAAGCTCTTCATGATTGGCTGATGCGGAGATCATCCTTCCAATAGCAGCTAGCTTAAGGGCTAAGACTAGACGAAATAGAACTGTCAGCTAAGAGCATGCATACTGAACTTCTAACCAGCTGCCACAAAGAATGCAAAACACTCATTTTTCATTGAAAAACGTTTCAAAAGTCATGTACTGGATGGCGCAGGTCACCACCACTAACAGCAGCCTTATCCACAAACAAACCTGTTCCTGTTGAAACAGAATGTATAAATATATACACGAAAATGTAAATTTTCCTTTTGCTAATCCTTCTTAGAATTTCTAGTGCAATTAAATGCTTAAACTGAAAACAAAAATAAAATATTTTTAAAAACCTGAAACTCTTTCTAGAAACTTCCTGAGAATCCTTCAAATCTCTTGATTAATTGAAGTACTACAGGAAGCTGCTGAAATTTTTTTCCAAGTAAATGCATAAATTAAGATCTCCATTAAAGGCTGAATCCTCTGGAACACTTTTCTGAATTTAATCTAAATTACTTCCATACATGAAACTATTCAAAGGATAAATGGTAAGTGCCCTGTATTTGATAGAACGCCTTTTAGGGTCCTACAAACCCAAGGCAACACAGTCACTCACTCTCGCACACACACATCCCCATGCTGGTGCTAGTGAGCTACAATGTAGCTACAGCTGCCGTGGGGTGCACTGATGGAAGTGAAGTTGCTGAGAACTGGCGCCACCGGTCCCTCTGGCCACCACCAGTACTACCTCATTAACTCTGAGTTCTAATGCAAGTCAGATCCAAGACAATATTTTAGGGGGGGGGGGGGGGGGGGGGGATACTATAAGTATACTATTTATGTAAGTTTAATACATTTTTTAATTCCCTGTACTGTGTAATTGCATTTTATTGTGAAGCAATTTCATCATTTAATTTTATTCTGTGAGTTATGTTGTTTATGAAATAGCCCAGCTAAGGAAAAAAATGAGAAATTCTCAATAGGTATTACCTCTGTACAGAATATCAGTAGCCTGAAATAGGTTGAAGTGTCTTGTTCACGATTTCATTCATCAAGATGGGTCTTTGAAATTAGATAATACTAGCCTAATATTTCCTTCCTTGGTGACCTGTAATAATCCATTAACCCTTACACGTTACCTAGTAACATTTAACCTTTTAAAATAGAAGCGTCAGTTTTTATTTTGAAAGACCAGACAGGAAGTCGTGGCATTCCCGCTGTTCGCTGTCACGGCTGATTTGTTGAGGAAGTCCGAGCCAACAGAACTTGTCACCGAATAAACGGAAATGTCCTCAGTACGTGTAGCTAAGTTTGTTTCCATGAACCGAAGTAAAGCGCAGCGCGCGGTTAGCAGCAACTTTAGCGGAGAAACGAACGGCACGTGCAACCACTTGTGTCGCTTCTGTCGACCAGGAGCGGTATCTCCTGAATACTAGTGTCCCCTCCATGGTTATCATCCCCTAAAAATCACATAAACGTCACGCTACGTAAAGGAAATAAAACCAGACCGCTTCGCGTTCAGACCGCCTTGAGAAGCACTTTGCGTGAAAACGCACCGGCTGTTGGACTTTGAGTGGGGGTGAGAGCGGAGTCAGACGGAGAGCGACAGGAAACTTACCTGAGGGTTGAGCTGCCATGGGCGGGTTTTAGTACCGGGAGGTGTTCGGTAAGGTGTCGGTCAGCGGCGGGACGGAGCGGCAGCGTCCGGAGCCGCCATGTTCCTCTGGCTCCGAGGCTCCTAGGCTGCTTATCTTCACCAGAGCCCCCTCCTCCTCCTCCTCCTCCTCCCCGCTACACCACCACCTCCACCTGGGTGCCTCAGACTTCTCATCACCGCTTTTTAACACCAGGAACCCGAAAATAAAGATTCTCGTTTCTAAATTATCCTCATGAACACTTTATCAGCCCCCAGGAACGCCGACGGCGTAAAACACACAGTCTAAAGTAATTTGTACAAAAATAACAAAGAAAGTCGCACGCAGCGGCTTGTGTCGCTGCCAGGAGTCAATAAGAAGCCGATTAGACGCTGGAGGGCTGGCCAAAGTTCACCAGGTCACACAATAGACCTGATGGGGAAAATTCAATATTTTAGTTTGTCATGACAGTTGGAGGTTACGTTGAGCTGGACTCATTTTAAAAGCCATACTTTTTATTTATGAAAACAAGAAAGACAAAGTCACACCAGGCATAAATAAGCCATAAACAGCCTTTAATACAAACTTATTTTTGTAATTTGTTCATTTATTTCATGAAAAGTACAATAATTTTGGGTCCTTTTCTTTTCTTAAGTTTTTAACATCTGCTGCCACCTGGTGAACAGAAGCAGCTTCTCTGTTGCACGTCAGAACCAAATAAGCTCAATTAATTACAAGTAGGCCTACAAACGTAGTTTTTCTAACTGGACTGTTAAAAGCATACTCCTTATTCTGTGACTGTCACCAGGTGAGAACATACCTGTGTGGACACACAAAACTGGTAACCTGTTCAGCCACCAATGTACTGTCAAGCAGGTAAAAGCTGTTCTGAGATCAGGCCAACTCGTATCAGTGACGGGGAGGTGCCGGCCAAACAAACGTGGCTGGAACGCCAACAAATGTTTAGACAGTAATGATCTTCAGGACTTCATAAATAGCTAAAGTCAACGAAATGTGAGACAACGTATCCTGCACATACAATGAACGAAATCCTACCCACACATGTATGTTTACACCTAGACTCAGGAAGAGGTCAGGCTCAAGCGTGGAAGACCAGAAAAGCTACAGCTTTTGTTCATGAAGCAGAAAATATCCTGGATTCAGATATTAAATGTAAGCTTTAACTGGGTTTGGTGCACAAACGGGAGCCTGAGAACATCAAAGTCCACCTTTACACACATTTTAAACAAGCTAAAGCTCCAGCTTCAGCTCAGAAAACCCCAAAACAACATCTTGATCATTAAGGATGATGTGATGTGATTGTGTAGATTCTAAAACCAGACCAGGCGGATCTTCCTCCCTCAGGTGGAAGCTTTATCTCACACATCAAAGACGACTCCTCCACTTGTTCTGAGTCGAGTCGTTCACTAGAAAGAACGAATTGACACACTTTGATGACAAAGTCTCTGGATTATTACAGCGGGTGTGAAAATGAGGTGACATACCCTGAATGATTTTGCCTTCCTTCTCCAATTTTTCCAAGTGATGCACCAGGTTGACGTTAGCTGCTTGGTGCAGGTGTTCAGGAGTGTCCTGCAGAGAATGCATAAGAAGGATTTGGTGTTTAGCTCCTGCTGTGGGTACATGGTTGGCTGAAGCCTGTGCAGGTTTCAAAAACCTTCACAGATAAAGTTAACTTACATTTACATATTTTGCTTAGATACGTGTCTGTAGTCTTACCAAAACCCTCCATACTGACCGTAACAATGCCCTACAGCTACAGTTTCACTCGTGTGTTTCACTTCTCACACCGGGATGAAAGACTCTGACCTTATACACGATCTTGACAAGCTCCATGGAGGAGAAGGCGTTTCCTGCTCCCTTCTGAATGGCAGTCAGGATCTGTTGTTCTCTTTGGTCGCGGTGGCTGATGTAGTATTTGATCTTGGTGCCAGCATCCTGAACCACGGGCCCGTGTCCTGCACAGAGAGCAGCCCGAAGACATCAAGGCCTCTAAAAAAAGTGGATCATGCTATGAAAACAGGTAAATTACAGGATATTTGTATGCTTTTAAATTCAGCTACTTATGCCAAATATTTTCCATAAAAATCTTATTTTCTGTTCTAAAATGAAATGAAAAGCTGATCTCTCAACACAAAACGGTCATTTTATTCAAATTTATATAAAAAAATGCATCTATTCAGCGCATTTCATCATGAAAGCAAAAGTTTGTCGTGTTCAGAATAAAACATTTTAAGCTCGGTGATGAGGTGATCTAGTTAGATTGTTTCCATTTGTCAGGAAGGTATTTAAAACCCATTTAAAGGAAACAACAGGTATACAAATCTGCAAACAGGAAATAATGATTTTCTAAAGAGGAACATCTGCTGATTTTATGTGAATCAGTCAAGAAAACTGAAACCGGTGCATTTATATGAAGTCCTCTCCAACCACCTCTCTTTATTAAACCCATAACTGCCTCAATGCATCTGCCACACAACAATTTCTTATAGGGATGTAAGAAAATATCGATATGGCAATATATCATGATATTTTTCTGTAATATTATATCAACATTCAAAATCTGTGTATCGAATAAAGAAGAAGAAGAATTTCCATGCAAACATTTGTGTATTTTCTTTTCTCTTTGTGCAATTCAAATGCTGACCACTAGTTGACAGCAGTGTGCAATGGGTTTTGTTTCCACCACTGAAGTGTAAATGCCTCTGTTATGGTTCAGATACGTCATGTTAAACACGTTAAGCATCAGTTGGGACTATTTATTGAATTTTCCTACAATAAATTCAGTCAAAAAATATCGCTAAGATCGTCTGACTCAATGTTTCGCAATATATCGTATCATCCCCCCTGTATCGTGATACGTATCATATTGATAAATGATAAATGACCCACACTTGTATAGCACCTCTCAGAGTAAGGACTCCAACGCGCTTTACACTACAATGCATTATTCATCCATTCACACACTGATGGTGATGAGCTACGATGTAACCACAGCTGCCCTGGGGCGCACTGAGAGGCGAGGCTGCCGACCACAACAGCAGAATTCTCTGTCCGGAGCCGGGATCGAACCTGCAACCTTCCGATTACTGGACAACCCGCTCAACCTGTTGAGCTACTGCTGCCCCTGGATTCAGTATTGCCAGAACTATACCAACACACATCCCTAGTTTCTTATGTGGACATAAACATGTACGCATTTGGAGAACATAAGCACAGCAGAATGCCAAACACACTCACCAGGGTAAATGAGGTCAGCTTTAGAGTTCAGCAGGATTTTCAGAGATTTCATGTAGTCATAGAGATCCTCGAACACGGCTGTGCCCTCACCCAGGATACAGTCACCAGAGAAGAGTGACTGCTCCTCCTCCAGCAGCAAGGCCATGTGGTCATCAGTGTGGCCCGGGGTGAACAGCACTCTGAAACAGACACAAAACAATCATTTCATGTGATGAGCATTTTTACACGTTTTCTTTTTCTTTTTGGCTGTTTTTGCAACACTGAACTGACTTGAGAGTGGCTCCCTCTGTCTGGATAACATCTCCATCTTTTAGGTAAGAGTAGTTTTTATTCCCAGCTGTCTCTGTGACCGGAGTGGAGCGTGGCAGCTTGCTGACTCGGACCTCAGACCCTGCAGGAAAAGTCAGATAGTGTTTTTTTTATTTACAGCTTGCTAATCATATCTACGTATAACCAACAGAGATTACTGAACACACACAAAACTCAGGAAACGGTCCTGACCAGTTATGTCTCTGCAGATATCTTCCACTCCTCCAGTGTGATCGAGATGCCAGTGTGTGATGATGATCTCCTGGATGCTGGTGTTAAACTGGCCCAGTGCATTCTTTAGATTGCTGATGTATTCGGGTACAGCAGGTTCTCCGGTGTCTATGAGCACACGTCTGGAAACAGAATAAACAGACAAGAAGAACTCAAAGAAGCAACAAAACAAAAATAAACAACTTATATATCTACACCTACCACTTAACCCCAGGCTACACTTGAGTCTGTAGAGGAGAAAAACGTCTGCTGGTAAAAATGGCTATAAAAATTCCATTTTTGGTTCTTATTTAAAACACATATTAGGTTTCTCTTTACCTTGCTGACTGTTTCGTTTGCAGCTGCAAACATTTTCAGAGCTGACGCTGATGGTGGCGTCACTTCCTACTCCGTTTATCGGCAGACAGCAGATGACGTTGTCGCCCTCTGCTGCCCGCTCTCCCCTCTCCGGTGATGCAGTCCCATGCACGATCCAATGAGTAAACCCCATCGACTCTGTTCATGGTCCCACATCCACGTCTCCTTATCTCTATAGCTTCCTTTATCCATCTTTTGTATTTCTGTTGTTCGGTGTTTATGATCCTTGTGTTGTCCATTATATGGTTCGGTCTTGTGCAGTGATCTGTTACGGCTGACTTCTTTATTGTGCTTTCTGCTTCTTCTTTTGCTGCTCTTGTGTGTCTTCGACTTGTTTCTTTCTCGCACTCCTTTCTATGTTCTATTGTTCGTGTGTTGAGTTGGCGTCCGGTTTCCCCTCTGTCTGTTTTATTGCAGAGTTTGCATGGGATTTCGTAAATGACTCCACATTTAAGTCCAGCTGGTATCTTGTCTTTTGGGTGTACCAGTCTGTTTCTAACTGTTGTGTATGGCTTTGTTGGTGTGTTTATGTTGTGTTTTTTCATTGTTGCTCTTATTTTTTCTGTTATGCCTCTGATGTATGGTAGGGTTATCACTGGTTTTGGTTCTTGTCTTGTCTTGCTTAGGTTGTTCTTTTCTTTCTGTTGTTGAAAGAACACAAGAGAGCACTACTCAAAGAAAGGACAAGAAATGTTGCAACCAAACAGAAGCAAGTGGATAACGAACTGGAAAGAAGACACCTGGACTTGAAAAGGAATTACAAACTTGATGAAAAAAATGGATGAACTAATTAAAGGACACATGATGGAACAACAGGAAAAAGAATTCATAAAAGTAAAAGAATGGCACATAAAGAAGTTAAACAAACTCATCAACAAGAAAGAGAGAAAAGAAATACAAGATAACACCACACAAAGCTCATGGGTATGTAACATTTCACAATACAAACTAACAGAAGCAGAGGAGAGCATATTAAAAAAGGGTTTAAACTTTGCAGTCACACCAAAAGAAATACCATATGATGAATTTATTGTAGCAACAGAACTGGCATGTCAACAGATCACAGATGAAGGAAAGAAGGCAGAACTCAGAAATAATGTTGTTGGGATTAAAAAAAAACAGCCAAATTCAACACAGCAATATTACAAAAGAAGAACTATCAGCCATGACAACTTTATCCAAAAATGAACAGATAATTATTCTACCGGCAGATAAAGGAAGAACCACAGTAGTTATGGACAGAGAAAAATATAAACAACAGATGAAACAGATGGTAGAGGCCAAAAATTCATACAAAATACTTAAAAAAACTAATAGAAAACATTAAGAAAAACATGAAAATTTACTGAAGCCACTACAAGAAAAAGGCAAAATAACAGAAAAAATGTACAAACACTGGATTTCTACGGCGAACATAACACCAAAAATCTACGGAACACCAAAAATACACTAACAAAACACCCCACTTAGACCAACAGTAGACAGCACAGGTACACGACATACAACATGGCAAAATAAATCAGCAAAATCATCAGCCCGTTATTAAGTAACGCAGATCAACACTGCAAAAACAGCACAGAATTGGCAAAAGAACTAAAAAAAAGAGACTACAATAGAAGATAACGACATACTCATCTCACATGACGTCACATCTCTGTTCACAAAAACACCAACCCAAAAAACCGTAGACATAGTAGTTAACAGAATCAGACAGGACAAGACTTTACACAAAAGAACAAACCTCACAGCAGATGAAACAGCACAACTGATAGGACTGGTGGCTAACTCCACTTACTTCACATACGATGACACAATATACAAACAACTGGAAGGCTTCGCCATGGGTAACCCGTTATCAGCCACCCTGTGCGAGTTTTTCATGGAAGATCTAGAACAAAAAGCCATAGCCAATGCCCCCCAAACTGTAAAATAAAACTATGGAAACGCTACGTAAACGACATACTGGAACCAAAAGGACAAACAGAAACCCTAACACAACACTTGAATAACATTGACGACACAGGCAACATAAAATTCACTTATGAGTCAGAACCAGAAGGCAACATAGCATTTATGGACATGAAAATAACCAGGCAGACCGACGGGACCCTAAACATAAACACATTTAGGAAACCAACACACACAGACCAATATCTATTATGGACATCAGAACACCTCACCATACACAAAATGTCAGTAATCAGAACATTATATCACCGAGCAAACATAATAACAGAAGACAGAGACCGTAAACAAGAGGACAAACACATACAACACACTTTAAAGACCTGCGGATACCCGACATGGGCAATAAACAAAGGAAAACAACAAACAACAACAGAAAGAAAAGAACAACCTAAGCAAAGAACTAGAAACCCAGAAAGACGAGAACCAAAACCAGTGATAACCCTACCATACATCAGAGGCATAACAGAAAAAATAAGAGCAACAATGAAAAAACACTATATAACGAATCCGTCAGCAAGGTAAAGAGAAACCTTATCTGTGTTTTCAAAACAACTAAAAATGGAATTAGAAGACAAACACAGCAAGAACGTACAAAAGTTGGCTATAAAATGTATACATTAATCTTTTTTTTGTGCTTTTTTTCTTAGATCTTTTAAACAACTTCAGCCCTGCTCAAACATAAAAAATTCCATCATTTTGAGGATTTTTAACCCTTTGATTACTCATGATTTTTACTGTTCACCTGGCTGGAGCTCCAGACAGGTGCATAGACATACTAATTGTTTTGGTTTTCTATACTTTGAAGTTCAGTAAGCGAGTCAAACTGTCTTTTATCTACTTATCAGAGGTCAGGTTGGCCTTTTGAATTAAATACAAACAGCAGAAGATCTAAAGAAATGTGTAGACTTTGGGCCACATATGAAGAAATGACTGAATGTGGTGGTAAACAGTAAAAATCATAAATTTGACAACTTTTCTCCAAATTGAAACCCTAATATCACAGAAAGCATGATTATTTGTTGCAGATGTTACAAAAACTGTGGTTTGAATGGAAGTCAATGGGACGTTTTTGTCCGCTAAAGACTACAGTGTTTTTTTCATAGTGTTCCCTTGGTCTACTTTCAAAATTCTAAATTGAATTTCAAAAATTGTCCAGAGAGAGGATTTGCGACAAAATACTGTACAAATATGTACAAACAATGGTGAAATGGCTTCCAAAAGAAAAGCAAAAAAACTGATTGGACCTCAGTAAACAGAAAACCTGGATTTTTCTATTGAGTTTGGTGTGAGGTCATTTAAAACTAGTCAAAGAAAGGGTGTAGGATGTCACATAAACAATGAAAGTTTAGCTATAAAATAATATCCAAAGCCCCCCTTTAGAGACTCGTTTAGAGAACCCAGCACCGTAGATACGTCAGCACTCACCTGACTCCGGTTCCGACCAGGTATGTGTTGGTACCCTGCAGCGTCATCGGTCCCGGGTTGCAGCCTAGAACCCGAACAACCCGAGCAGAAAGCTGCTCTATTCGAGGTATAACGACACTCATAAGTCTGATGTTTCGGGGAGAGAGAACAACACAGAAACAGGTGAAAGTTCTTCTTCTTCTTCTTCTTCTTCTTCGTGTTTATTGGCGGGTGGCATTTAACTGCTAGGTACATTTCCGCCACCTACTGTGCTGGAGTGTGAGTCGGAGTAAGAGCGTAAAAAAATAAAATATAAATATAAAAAAACTAAATTCTATTCAACAAACCACTGTGTTTTAGATACTCAATAACCAACTTATATTTCCTTTCTTCACCATTTAAAAAATTATTTACATTTATCACTCCACCTCCCATGTTTTTTTTTATTTCTCCCTGAGTTGTCCTCTACTTTCTCATATTTTATGCAGTTACATAAAACATGTTACACTGTTTCTCCCCCCACCCCACATCCACACAAACCTCTGGGATGTTTCCCTATCAGATGCATCGTATTATTAAGCCCAGTATGTCCCATTCTTAATCTTGATATTATTCTTTGAGCTCTTCTTAGATTTTTCCATTTTCCTACTTTCCCTTGTATCTGAAACAAATGTCTTCATTTCTCTCCCCTTTCTCACATTCTTTGCCACTCTTCCATTATATGTGCTTTAATGGTAGATTTAATTTCAGCGGGATTATATGCAATATTTATTATTTTTCTCTCTCTTATTGCCTTTTTTGCAAAATAATCTGCCATTTCATTTCCTTCCACTCCTCCATGTGCCGGTATCCATAAAAATTTAACTTCCGTACCCAATTTCCTTAATCTAAATATGGTCTCATATATTTTTCTTATAATACATCTATTCGACTCTTGGTAGACATTAATTTAACGGACACTAATACAGATAACGAATCAGTACATATAATTCCTTTTTTAATTCTATTTTGTTCTTTCCATTGAAGACTAAATAATATAGCTATCATCTCCACTGTGTACACAGATAAATGATCTGGAGTTCTTTCCCTAACTACTACTCCTATATGTGGTATCACAAATGCAAAACCGTTTTTTCCCCTACCAGTTCCTTTGATCCATCTGTAAAGATTTGCACAAAAGACTCATAGCTTTTTAATCTATTTTATGTAATTTTATCCCAATTTCTTTTTCCCCCACTGCTTCTTATTTTATCATAAATACTATAATCAACACACACTTCCGGAAATATCCATTTTGGATTAACTGTATATAAAAACTTTTAAATTTGTACTTTATCACGGATCTTATTCTCTTTTGCCCAATCTTGCACTTTCCAGCTACCATATTCCTTCTTCATTTTCTCTTTTTCCCAACACGGACTCAGTGCCCTTTTCATTGTCCTCACACCCTTGTAAACTTGCCCAATAATTTAAAGCTATCTGTTTTATCCTAAGCTATTGGTATCTCACCCATTTCTACCTGTAGTGCCACAATAGGTGTAGTTTTTATTGTTCCACAACACACTCTTAATGCTTGACTTTGCATGATTTAAATCCGTTTCATTAATGTTTTAGATGCTGAACTATAAACTATACTCCCATAATCTATCACTGATCGTATCATTGCACTGTACATGTATTTTAATGCCTGAGCACTAGCCCCCCACTCATATCCTCTCACACATCTCATTATATTTATTGCTTTTTTGCTTCTTTCCTCTATTTTATTTATATTATCCTTCCATATTAACTTTTTATCAAATATTACTCCTAAATATTTAAACTTATCTTGCTCCAACTCTTTTCCATACAATGTTAAATTCTCCATTACTTTCTTGCCTTTTGTAAACACCATACTTTTAGTTTTTTCCACTGAAAATTTGAAACCCCATTCATCAGGTGAAAGTTCAACTGTAAATTCTGCAAAAGACACACCGGAAACAGCGTTGGAGCTAATTATTTACTTCCGGTAATTTACCCCCCACCCCCACCCCCCAGGGTGTGAGACGTGGAATTGTGGGGTGCTTCCAGAAGTCTTATTTACTAGTTTGAACTGTTTATGACTTTTTTAACCGTCATCGTACGAAAATGAATTACATTTTTATTTAACTTGTGGTAATTTTAATATTTCAACTACTTTTCAGCTCCTATCTCAAACGTGAGCTCACTCATTGCTGCAAAAAGCTGAACACGTATATGCTGGTAACGTATAATTTAACACAAAACGAAAACATACTTTTAAATGTTGATATTTTGCTTTATTGTTTGAATATTCAAAAGCAGAAGAAGCGAGTCTGCGCCAGCAGCTGAAAAGGTTTTATGGTGAAATAACTAAGGGACCTCTAGATGGCGCCATTGTACAATCAGAACCAGCCTCGCGTGTTTCAGGTTTTTTTTTTTTTTTTTTTTTTTTACCTTGAATTTTAATGAACAGAATCTAAAATTACAACAAGTTTTATAAATTGTAAATGCATCTGAATAGCAATACTTTAAAGGGTTTGGCTACAGAAAAGTGAAAATAATTTTCCCAATAATCAAGGATGTTCCAGGGATCTGTCTGCTCAGATAGTTAATAATGAATCACTGGGGGGAGTATTTAAAGTTTAAACGTTTGAAGCTTTTATTGTGGCCAGTAATCCGTCAGTTTCAAGTAATTTCACTTGGAAAAGTGGCAAGACTGAACTATTTAACCTGTCTCTCACTCCTCAGCTGTCATGTTTCTCTCACTGTCCTGTAAATCCAACAGTTTCAGATTGGATTTTCACCTTGGCAGCAGCAGCAGTTTGTGTTTTAGGACCTCAGTGCTTGTTCCTCTTTTATTATCTGCTCCCAGCATGCAACATGATGAGTCTAATGACTACAGAGATGAGCTGGAGATGGGCAGAGAGCTGCAGCTGTAAAATCCCCTCTGCAAGCTGACGGTCCCCCACCTTCACAGGTGCAGGAAATTGAGTCAATTAGGAAAATTAATCCTGCACACAACTTGATGAGTTTACACTGCTACTGTAAAACCATGTGGGAGGCTAGCTGAAAACTTTAGGGGTGCTGTAGGAATCAGCTGGATGCTTACTGACTTCCCCTGTGGACGTTCAGCGATGTTTCCTTGATTGTTTCTGGAGCTGAATCTGGCTGCTTTGGACTCGCTGGAGGTGAGTGAGAAAAGTTGTCTTCTGTTTCACTTCTACGCTGTAGCAGCATCAGTTTTAAAAGATCTTCATGAGAAGTTGATTTGACACCATATGAAGATTTTATTTCCTGCTTTATTGAATTAAGGAGGTTAAAAAGTTATTTTCTGAATGGTGAAGTTGAAAAAATTGCTTGAGTAAGTTACTTACTCAGGATATGAGACGTGGAATTGTTGGGTGCTTCCGGTGTGTTTCAAAATAAAACAAATTTATAATCATTCTGTACTACTGAGGGAGCAGATATCTGGAGACTTTATGAAGAAATGCCAACAAGTGATAAAAACTGCAGTTCCCCCCTCTTCCACCAGGGGCTGGCACCAGAAAGAGAAGGTTCCCATTGACTCCCATGTTATCAATGTCAACTTCACAGCAGAAATAAACAGGTTTACAGCCTGGTTCAAAAAACATTTTAGGTTAATAGGTCAAGTCCAGGGATGAAGTCCTGCCTCAGCTGGAGGAGTTTAAGTATCTCGGGGTCTTGTTCACAAGTGAGGGAAAACTGGAGCGTGAGATCGACAGGCGGATTGGTGCTGCGTCTGCAGTGATGCGGGCGTTGTACCGATCTGTCGTGGTGAAGAGAGAGCTGAGCCAGAAGGCAAAACTCTCGGTTTACCGGTCGAACTACGTTCCTAGCCTCACCTATGGTCACGAGCTTTGGGTAGTGACCGATAGAACGAGATTGTGGATACAAGCAGCTGACATGAGTTTTCTCCGCAGGGTGGCTGGGCTCTCACTTAGAGATAGGGTGAGAAGCTCTATCATCCGGGAGGGGCTCGGGAGTAGATCCGCTGCTCCTCCACATCGAGAGGAGCCAGTTGAGGTGGCTCGGACATCTGGTCAGGATGCCTCCCTGGTGAGGTTTTCTGGGCACGCCCAACTGGGAGGAGACCCAAGGGATGACCCAGGACACGTTGGAGGAACTGGCTCTCGGCTGGCCAGGGAACACCTTAGGATTCCCCTGGAAGAGCTGGCCCAAGTGGCTGGGAAGAGGGAAGTCTGGGCATCTCTGCTTAGGCTGCCGCCCCCGCGAACCGACTCAAGCTAAGCGGAAGAAAATGGATGGATGGAGGTCAATCATGATAACTCTGAGGGGGTGAAAGTTTTTGTAACTCATCTTTTTAGATGTAATTAGAGCTTGAAATAATGAATAATGAGGGGCATGTCATCTGATTGACAGGTGTCAGAGGAGCTGTCAGTGCTGGAGCTAGCAGCTGCCCTCCTGCTTCCGCCAGGGAAGCCCTCAGCCTCGTGTTAAAAGTATTAGATCCTAGAAGGCAGATGTGTTGGAGTTGCTCAACTGTGGTTTCCTAGCTCAACCTCCGTTAGCTCGTTAACAAGAAAGAACAAGTTCACAGCAACCCTCAGATCTCAATTCGTAACACACACATTCATGATCACTGATTATGATTCTTGCACCAGTCCTGGTCCTGATGAAGCTAAGAAGCTGCAACCATTCAGTAAAATGGAAAATATACCTCCTTCACTTTAAACTTCTCCCTCAGAATAAACTCCACCAGTAGCTTCAGGGTTGATTTTAAATCCAGTTAAAAGGAAATGCCCTTGAAAGAAACCCAGGTTACAAGACTTTGTGGTTCTTATAAGATAAATGTTAGTATCGGTTATAATAAAGTGGTGTAAAAAACCTTCTTAATGTCTTAATTTTTATAAAAATCTGTAAGAATACTTTGACTCGTAGGTCGCCATTGTTGTTAGCGCCGCAATGTACTTTGGGTAGTGACGTCACATGGTTGTACCTCGGTTGCACAGGCTGACTTTGGGACCCTGTAGTGACTGTTCAGCGACATCAACGTGTCATCTGTTCAGCCTTTTCAATTTGAGCCAGAGTGAAACATGAATGAGGACATCACTGACCACGTTTCACAACGTGAGCATCAACATGAAGAGCAAGAAGGACGGGATGAAGCGGGTGCAGGACAAAACCGGTGGTGCATGTATGGCAAATGTGTCTCCACAGTAACCAAGAGGGAGAGCGCTTACATTCTTGTCAGCAGAAGT